CTACTTCGTCCCAATATAATAGGAACAAATTACTATTTAAAAATAATGTAAAATTTTATTTAAAATTGGATTTTCATATATAACTTGAAAGGATATTTTTTTTATCACAATTTGTTTTGTAAAAGATTTTGATGTAATTATTAAATATGAAAGTTTTAATTTTTATTTGTTGACCATTATTTAAATAAAATCAATTGAAAACATTATTTTTTTTGTTTAGCGTAATTGTTCTTACATTTTGGGACTGAAGGTGTATGAGATAAAATCATTTTTTATGGACTCTTATTAAAAAAATCATATGGTCTAATGGTGTAAATATAGCGGGGTGGGTTAACCAGGTTTGACCTGGACACACTCGACCCGTAATATAAAACACACAGCAAGAACACGAAGTATGACCTAGACCGGACAAATCTCCTCAGTCCAAACTATATTTCTTACTCTATCTCAAGAGTGAACTTTAGTGAGAGAAAAATTGGATCCCCTCCTCTATCCAATATCATCATATTTATAGAGGAGGATTTGTGACCTTCCCCTGTTCATCCATGGACAAAATAGGAAGCCCGTGGGAAGGTCACTGTATATAATCAATCTACTATCCAATCAATGAATTTAGCAACTACAAGCCAAGACATGTACTGTTCAATCAAAGACTATAAATGGATATTCTCAATCCAATCAGCCCTGCAAAGTGACAAATGTTCCTTTCACTATTTGCCTCGTGAAGGCCGAACAACGGGGTGGTCCCCTGGCCTTTGACGTTGTAACACCCCAATCCGTATAACCCGGAATTACACGAATTAAGGTGAAACGAGAGTTATTTAAAAATTTTGCTTGACAGTTGAAAATGACAATTACTTATAAATATCAAATTTACAGACTCTGGATCGCGACCCATTTAAAAAAATAATTTCAGAGTAATGCGGAAGTACAATAATAATCAAATCATGACACATTTAAAAATCTGATGATCAACATTTGCCTGCCATCCTTGCATCTCCTCTGACTCAATGCCCTCCGGGAGTGGTTCCGTCATTGTCCTCTTGTTACCTACGTGTAGTCAACGAAAAATACAAACTACACGCTCAGCAAAACCGCTGAGTGGTACCACGCTAGAATTGTAGAACAATTCATAGACATATACATATACATACGTCCACAAAATGTATAATAATATTCATGATATGGCACATTATATCATATGTTCAATTTGATGATTTATGATGGTGGACATTTAATGATGATTACATGATGGCATATTTAATCAATATAGTTATTCTTGATGATGATTACATGACACCTATGTAATCAATATAATTGTTCTTGATGATGATTACATGACACCTATGTAATCAATGTACTTGATGATGATAACATGATTTCACATTTAATCAATTTGATTGTTCTTGATGATGATTACATGACACCTATGTAATCAATGTACTTGATGATGATAACATGATGCATGAACCTAAACGTGCAAGGACGACCCTTGCGCTA